TGATTGTCTCAGCCCTAAAACTCTTAGGCAGTCCACTAGTAAGCAACATGGTCCTCCCCATGTCTTCTAAGGATTTCTTCTTTCTTTCTACAACTCCATTTTGTTGTGGATTTCTAGGTGCAGAGAAATTAAGGTCAGTATCATGTGAGCCATAGAACTCAAGGAATTTTGAATTTTCAAATTTAGTTCCATGGTCAGTTCTTATACTTAATACATTGCACCCTAACTTTTGTTGAATCATTCTAACAAATACACAGAAAATATCAAAGGTTTCATCTTTGGATCCTAAAAACAATGTCCAGGTATACTTGGAGAAGTCATCAACAATCACAAACACATACCTCTTACCTCTTCTGCTCCTTATTCTCATTGGTCCACATAGGTCTATGTGAAGGAGTTCCATAGGTTTAGAAGTACTTACAAACTTTTTTGATTTAAAGGATGACCTTACATGTTTACCTATAACACAGTCATCACACACCTTGTTAGTGGTGAACTCAAATTTAGGTAGCCCAAAGACCAAGTCCTTTGCTGCCAACTTGTTGAGTTGAGAGAGACTGACATGTCCCAGTCTTCTATGCCATAGCAGGGGATCATCTTCCACTATAATCAAGAATGTGTGCTCACTCAGGGGAAGTGACATAATCGATATCTTGTAGACATTGTTATGTCTCTTGCCCTTTAACACAATTTCATCAGTATCAAGCTTAGTGACACTGCGAATTTTGGAATTGAATTTTACCTCATTTTCTTTGTCGTAGATTTGAAAGATGCTAAGAAGATTGTATTTAAGACCTACCATATAATAAACATCTTCTATAGCATGAGAGAGTGACTTACCAACCTTGCCAATACCTATTATCTTGCTCGTTTTCCCATTTCCAAATGACACACTCCCTCTTTGGAAGGCTGCCAGTGAGAGAAAGTTTTTCTTTTCTCCAGTCATATGTCTTAAGCATCCACTGTCTAGATACCAGTCCTGATTGTTTCCTTTCACCTTAACCTGCACCAAAATTCACAAGTTAGTTTTGGGAACCCAAACAAGCTTGGGTCTATAAAAAGGATGAAGCAGATCCCTTCTTGCCCAGAAGGGGAGAGGGTTAGAAGCTATTTTCTTGTTAACCTTAATCCACTTAGTATGTACATGAGGATAAAACTTTGGCTCCTCATCCTTCTTCACATTTTTAGCAATACCAAAGGTGCTTCTAAATTGGGTATGAACTAAGGTAGGATAAGTGTCTCTAAGGTGTCCTATTCTTCCATAATAAGTGCACATGTTATTATTAAAAATTCATACATACTTTGGGTCAAACTTAAGGATAGGTTTTCTGTAGCCAATTCCATATTTGTTAGAGCTATAGTGTTCATTTAGCAAGTCCAAGGCATCAGAAGATCTATGTCATTTCCTTAGTCTAGAGAGTTCATAATTAGCCTTTTTAATATTTTCCCGCAGAACTTTATTTCTATATTCAGCATCACAAAGATTATCTTTGGCAATTTTTAATTCCTTTTCAAGCTTATCCTGCAGATCACTCATTTTTCCTTTGCTATGTACATCAGGAGACTTTTTATTCTTAGAAGGAAGCTCAAGAACCTGGTTCTTACGTTCTTTAACCTGATTCTCTAAACTAGCTTTGTCAGATTCAAGCTCTTTGATATCAAGTATGGCACAAGAAAGGTTGCTTATTAGCTAATCATTTCCAGTACTCAATTTATCCATTTCATTCATTAAGGCCACAATTATGGCCATTAGTTGTTTTTGGACATAGCATGAATATTCACTTTCAAGTCAGATATACTTACCTGGTTTGCTTCATCTTCTATTTCTGAATCACTTATGGCCATCATTCCCTATCACTTCTTCCTTTGTTTTGGATTCTTCAATCGCTATCAAGGCCACTTCAATGTTTTTATTTACAAAGTTAGTTTCCAAGGTCCCCCATATATCATAAGTAGAGATTCAAGAGGTCACTCTAAGGAGAGTGTTTCTTGACAAGCTTTTGTAGAGCAGGTCCTTTGCTTTAGTATTTTTCTGAACTAGCTGACGATCTTCTTCATCGTATTCCTCTTCTCTTTTGTTGCACTTGTTACATTCACTATCCATTTTGTTTGGGATAATTGGTCCATGACTGACAATTACCCATAGGTCAAAATCAGTAGCCTGAAGCAATATTTCCATACGCAACTTCCATACATCATAGTGGTGTTCATCAAACAAATGAGGTCTTCCAATGTGTATTCCAAGTTGTACTGGGGGTTCGGTCTCCACAACTTTGTATTCATCAATCACAATATAGAGCATCATCCTCATTTTCTTCCTCTTGATCAATTCCACTCTCCTTGTATACTGCCAAGAAGGTTTGCTTCATTGCTTCAGTAAATCATTTTCCTAGGATTTTTCCTTTGTTGGAATAATTTTCTCTCATCTCCTCCCATTCCTCTTTTTAGGTCGTTCTTTCCTCTGCTAGATTTCCCACATTGGGTAATCCTTGACCATATAATCTGGCTTGCCGCACTTATAGAACCGTCGATATGCTTAAGCTTACTACTGGTCTCTCTCTTGGATGCTCTTTTGGAATTCTTGATGAACCTCTTGAACTTGGCAAACATTGCTAGATCAGGATCATTATAGTCAGATTCATCATCCTCAGATGCTTTTAGAACCAAGGCCTTATCCGTCTTGGGTTCTTCCTTGTGCAATTCTATCTTTCTCATTTCGTGAGTTTTTAAGTTTTCAACCAACTCATCAAGTGAGATTTTGTCCAATTCATTGGCTTCCTGGATTGCAATGACTTTTGATTCCCATGAAACTGGAAAGAATCTTACAACTTTGCTAACCAACTCTTCTGAGGTAAACATCTTTCCAAGTGATTTTAGTTCATTATTTATTATAGTGAATCTAGTCATCATATCCTGGACGAGCTCAGACTCCTTCATGGAAAAGAGCTCATAGTTTCTCATGAGTAGCTCTAACCTTCATCTTTGTACTTGGTTTGTTCCTTCATGAGCAATTTGGAGTGCATCCCATATCTGCTTCGCATTAGAGCACATAGAAATTCTATTATACTCATCAGGACCAAGTTCACAGATAAGGATTTTCTAAGCCTTTGCATTCTTCTCCATCATTCTGAAACCTACTGCCACAAATTCAGAGGGGGTCCTTAGGAACTGTTTTATTTTATGCATTTTGTTTAGTAGGAATCAAAGGACCTTCGTTCATTATGGTCCATAGTTCAAAGTCTTCAGCTTTTAGGAAGTCTTCCATTCTGTCTTTCTACCAACTGTAATATTTTCCATTGAACAAGGTTGGCTTGGTAGTTGATTTTCCTTTATTAATTTCGGGTGGAGTACTCATCTTGCTTTCAAGAACTCTCTAGGTGTTAGCCGTGTAAATGAGAGAACCTGCTCTGATACTAATTATTAGTTTGAGTGCCCAATAAATTACCAAAGAACTTGGTTCTTTACTATGTTCCTTAAGCGTAAAGTAAATAAGCAATAAAATGAACACAATGATTTTTACGTGGAAAATCACCTAGCTCAAAAGGTGCAAAACCCACGATCTACCACGTAGGATTTTCAACTCCAACTCTACTAGAACAATGAGCTAAAATATATCACTTACAAGACTATAATTAAATATTCTCCAGTACTCCTACTACTCCTATTTGATTCACAAGTTACTCTAATTTGTAAAGAAAAATACTCACTCCAACTAATTAATTATTTATGAAATTTGATTACAATTCAATTTCCTAAAACACATTTACTAGACTGACTCAAGAAGAATACAATGCAAGTACTCGACTCGAGTAAACAACTTATGACTCTTTTGTTGATGTATTAAAAGATAGTTCAGAAGTCCATAATTGATCATATTTAAACACTTCAACTTAAGATCTTCTAGGAGTCCTATTCATAATCAACTTCCTCTTTGATAAGACTCCTATTGTTCCAAGGATTTCACACGCTTTGGGACTTTTGTCTCTGACTGAATTATCCGTATCCTCTTGAGTAATGACCCTCGTCACTTATAGCAGTCTTCTTCCACCAACCTCGGACCTGGGTAACTTTGAGATAAAGTTACTTTCTTGTACCGAAGTACAAGTATCAACATGAGGAGTGATCTTTTCTCTCGAGGAGCTAATTCTTCAGAACAATTAAGCAGCTAGGTTGAGGACCTGGTTCTTTAAACACTTAGTCCTACTCTATCTACTTCAATACTCAACAAACTAATATACATACGCAACGCAATGTGGATTTTCACTGTTAATTGCCTCTCCATGAGTGATACCGTCACCCTTATTTTGGAATTTATGTTTTATTTTATACATGGATAATAGTATTCAATGAAAGGCCAATGCCTTCATTAAAATGTAAAATTTCTGTCGTACAATCACTATTATCATTAGCATGTAAGAGTACCTACATGTTTCTAGCCACAATTTGTATATTATCATTTACCGTGTAACAATCACTCTATTGTAATCCCTGAAAATTTAACGAACCCTACATTAGTTATGCACGAATTCCACTTCTTATCATTTCAAATAAGAATACGCGTATTAATTTGATAATTGTGTCTAATTAAAGACGATGAGTACCTTTAATATATACAATTTATGCTTAACAATTGTTAATCATAATCTCTATTTCTTGAATAATAAAATGCGTCAATTGGTGTAAATCTTAATCCTCACCAATTATAAACCAAGTATACTTTGATACGAAGTAGCCGCGTGCTGGATTATATATCTAACATCTATACTAGGACTATTCTAAACTGTCAACTTTTTTTTTTCTTTCTTATAATATGATTTTAACTAGAAATATAATTTCGGGTTCACTAATTCCATGCGTACTGCACATCAATTTTAGCCGGTAGATCCGTTTGTCTTTTGGCTTAACATAAAGTTTTCTCACTTTCCTCAATTCTGATCCCTAATTTCTTCTCTTTCTTTCATAGATGAGAGAAGATATAGTAGGGTAGAGGGAGGATCAATATGGCAAATCATAAAAAGGAAGAAGTAAAACCAGTTTTGGGTTATCAAAGATCAGAAAATTTCTACCAAACAGATCATAATAATTATCAGCAATTTCATCCTGCAGGATATGCTCAACCCTGTCCTGGTTATCCTGCTAATCCAAATGAAGCACAACCCCTTCATTATTATGATTATAATCAACAACCTAATAATAATTATCCAGCTAGACCTCTGCCTTATGTATCCCCTGAAGTTAGCCAAGGATTCTCTTTTGCCCGTGTAATGCTCTGCCTAATGGTTTTTTTAATCTTGTTTGCATCTCTTATGAGCATGGTTGCATGGTCAGTATTTTCATCAGAGTGGCCAACAATTAAGGTGGAATCATTCGTTGTTCGTTCCTTCGAGATTTCAAACGGATCGTTGCTGAAAGCAAATTTGGAAACCAAAGTATCCGTGAAAAATACAAATCATCGATCATCAATCGTGGTATTGTACGCAGAGAATACGTTGTTATACAAGTACGTTGTTCTTGACACGACTTCATCGGTTGATCATTTGGAAATAGCCAAAGAGAGTACCGTCATGTTGCTTGACGCTTTTGCATTGCCAAATTCTAAACGGAGCTTCACCGGGGATTCGGTGCTCAATGAAATGGCTAAAGATCAAGGAAGAGGGCACATTCTCTTTGATTTGAAAATTGATGTTCAAGTCATATTTAAGTCCCGGGTTTATGAGAAGAGAAACAAGATCCGTGTGTATTGTGAAAAGATTAAATTGAATTTCCAAAATGGTTCCACGATTCCAACGTGGGATGGTTCTAAAAGTGAATGTATAAATGGTTGAATCAAGTTTTATCATCTTTTCTCTTTTTGATGTAACACAGTAAGATAAATAAAGTTAAAAAAAATTTACCAGCAAGAGCATAGGTATAAATCGAGGTAAAAATAGAATATGGTAAGTTATTAATCCCTACTCAAGCTGCATAATGGCTTTGCCAAGTGCAAGGGAATTGGTGGAGATTGCACAAGATATGTGTGGATGAATCAACTTATTTTCTTTTTTGTTAAATTCATTTGTGTTAGATATCAGTGTTCACAATCCAAAAAACTAGAAAAAAATGTTAGATGGACAAAACAGAAACAGAAAAACAAAAGTTTCGAGCCCGATAGAAAATTGTGTTTTCTTAAGGAATCCACTCCCTTCACTATTGCCAAGTTTGTTGGATTAATTCCTCTCAGAATAGAATGAAACAACTATATTGTAATACATGCAATGAGAATTACAAAATTTTAGCGAACTCAACTAAACAGTTAAGTTTTTGTTTTTAAAACTATGCAAAAATGCACATAAGAGATGAGAGGATGTATGCAGATTTGCTAATTTTTAGTGTCTGAAAATCCGTTGTATTTATAGCCAACGAATTTGGGTCTCAACTTGTGCAAAGGTACCTGTTCGGAAATAAGTGCATGTTTGGTAAAATGTTCAATTTTTTTTAAGGACTGTTTGAGAAATTCGCAATATTCAATTTAAAAATTACCGTTGGGATATAAAATTTAAACTGCTATTTTTACTTTAAAATGTCACTCGAATAATTTTAGAAAAAGAAAAATAGATAACAGAAAAGGAAAATAAATTTGGTATAAAAAATTTATCAATCAATCAGATCCAAAGCCGAAGCCGAAGCCAAAACCGAGCAAAGATGACGACAATGCGAGGTTTGTCTCTTCTCAACTCTTAAAGAGGTAGAAGAAGTGTTTCTCTATATGGCACAGGGATTTTCTTTCCATTTTCTGATGAGTTTCAAACCTTTTGTTTTTCCTCCAATTTATCCCCTTTATTTCTCATTCATACCTTAACTCAAACTCAACAATTTCTCACATGAATGAAAATGACTATATGATGGGAAAATGTATGAAAAATTGTGTGATTCACAAGTAATTAAAGATTTATTATACCCTTTGAACTTTCCAAAGTGAACTTATGTCATATCAAGATAACCATAAGTCACACAGTCAACTCTCAACCCTCTTTTGTTCTCATTTTTTTATTTGTTTCAGCCATGAACACCACCTCTTTTCATAAGTACGTAGAGAACTTCCTTACAAAATTCTCCTTGAAGCGGCTTACACTTCATAGTTAAATAAGTAATTTCCAAAACGTGTAATCTCATAGATACACTATTTGATAATCCTCCTATCAAATGTAGAAACCATTAAAAAGCTTTAATGCTTTATTATTCATAGTGAACATTGTCTTTATCATGAGAATAAAATAAAAATTTATTTGACAATGTTGAACCATCAGTCATAACTTTATTTGATCTCTTTAAACCTAGATCTTGGGATCTCAAATTAGCTAGGTAGAGTTACCGCCATGATGACTTATCCTCGGCCATAGTCTCATTACTTTTGATGATTTATCAACCACATCTCTAGTTGACTTTTATAAGTAGACCTGACACATTATCTCTTGACTTTACATAGTAGAGAGTAATTGTCTAACGGTATGTCTTCGCCGTTTGTGACGAGATTTTCTGTTATACATAATGCTTCTAGCCCTTCCTCCTACTGCTTGACTATCACAACGTATAGATATATGAGCCACTGGTTTGAACCAAAATAGAATATCTTCGAAGAAATTCCGGAGTCATTTAACTTGTTCTTCAGCTTTGTCTAAACTTATAAACTCAGACTCCATTGTAGAGCAAGTGATGCATGTCTGTTTGGACTATTTCTAAAATACTTCTCCTCCACTAATAGTATAAATGTATCCACTAGTAGATTTAGTTTCTTCTATCCAGTATCCAATTTGCATCACAATATCCTTCAATCACCGGAGAATACGTATTATAGTGCAAAGAATAATTTTGGGTGTATTTTAAATTCCTGAAAACTTGTGTCGTTGACGACCAGTGAGTTTCGTCAGGATTACTTGTGTAACGCTTCAGTTTATTTACTGTACAAACTATATCAGATCATATACAATTTATAATGTACATCTAACTTCTCAACACTCGAGCGTAGTCCAATTGAGATTTGGTCTGACCTAGTTTCTTTGTAAGAGCAACGTTTATATCAATCAGAGTCTTTGCAACTTTGAAATCTAAATAGTTAAATTTTTCAAGTAGCATTTTAACGTAATGGGATAGAGACAATGCTAGACCTTGAGGAATCCTATGAATTTTAATTCTTGGAATTAAATCTGCAACTCCTAAGTTTTTCATATCAAACTTGCTAGCAAGCATACAGTTAGTAGCATTTATGTCGGTAATGTCTTTACTTATTATTGGCATACCATCAACATATAAACAAATAATGACTATGTAATTTGAAGGATTCTTAATGTAAATATATTTATCACACTCATTAATTTTATGCCCATTTTCCAATATTGTTTGGTCTAGTTATACATGCCATTGTTTGACTGCTTATTTTAGTTAGTAGAGTAATTTAACAAGTTGACATATCTTCTTTCTTTTCCGACATGTAAAAACCTTTCAGGCTGTTCCATGTAAATTTCTTTCTCTAAATTCCCATTTAAGAAGGTTGTTTAGCAGCCATTTGATAGATTTCAAGATCGTACATGGCGCCTGTGAGCACGTGATTTTTTTCCCTATATGAATTATTTCAATAAATTCAAAACAAAATGATTTCTTTCATTGTTTGCAATTTTGTAAATTTTTGTGGCATTTGCTGTTAATTGTTTGCATTTTGTTTGTGCGTTTTAACTAGTGAAAAATACAAAAATACGTTGCATTTGCATTTAGTGTTAATTTTACATTTTAGGATTAATTAGAAAATTAATTGTTGCATAAAATGGAAAAAATCACAAAATTAGTTTAATTTGCACTTTTAATTGCAGCTTTGATTTTGAGTAGCTTTCTTTTGTTAATTTATTTTTAATTAATTGTGTTAATTATTATTTTAGGTTTAGTTAGTTTTTTTTAGTTCTAGGAATTAATTTTGATTTTATTTAAATTTCGAAAAAAGGGAAAAAGGAAAAAGAGTTTTGAATTAATTTTGTTTTGAATAAAAGATGAAAAGGGTTGGGCCAGTTTTCAAACTAAACTCCCAGGCCCAAATCTTCCAATGTGAAACCCGTCCAAAATACCCGTTACCCAGCCCAAACCCGTGTCCAACCCGGTCCGGTTTCCTTCCCCCCATATCCAAACGGTGTCGTTTCGTTGAGTTTTGATCTGAGCNAATCTGGCTCAGAAGCTCCAAACCCTAATCCGCCGCCCTATTTTTCCACCGCCTCAACCGGCGGAGCCACCACAAACCGACCTCAAATTAACACCAAATATCCTCCTAAACTCCCTCAGCCCAAATCTACAAGTACCTTCCATCAAACAAACCCAGGACGTCTCGAATCTTGGTTTAAAAGAGAAACTCTAGCGCCACCCCTGTGCTCTCCGGTGGCGGCGGCGCCTCTGTTCGACCCCAAAATCACACCCCTGAACCCCCGTCTTTCCTTCACTCAAAATCCCCACTTAGATTCCCTCGAACATCCCTGTAGTCCCTCGAATTTCAAATCAAAAATCGAGCCCTAGGAGCCTCAAGATGTGGTCATGCATGCAAATCGTTTAGGAATTTCGGGTCGTTTGGTTTGGTTTTAACACAAAATAGTGACACTCGTTTGTTTTTCAATAAGAACAAACGTTTGCCATTATCTTGGGTCAAACCAGTGCTCCAGTTTGGATTTCAAGTCTGGCCGGTGAGCCCCATTCTTTTCTGCTTGTTTTCTTTTTCAAAATCATTTATGTGACACTTCTGCTTTGTTCTTCTCTTTTAATTTTTGATTTGCTATCATGTTAGAACTATTAATTTGGTCATTTAGTTTAATTCCATAGCTTAATTAGTTCCTCGTTTGTTTGTAATCATTAATTCGTCAGGTTGTTTGGTTTGTTAATTTTTCTGACTTTGTTTGGGTCACCTTTGCTATTTGGGCTCCGAGGTCAATACAAACCTCATTCTTAGGGAATCATGCTTGGTTCGAATTTTAGGCCATGTCCATTGATCCCATTTGGGATTCATAACCCATACCCGTCTGACCAAGGTTGTTCTCCAGGGTAATAAATGGGGGTTTTAAAAGGGTAATTTTGGCAATTGGGGAAGGGAATCTTGAGTAACAGAATTCAGAAACTTCTAGGAAAGTGGGGTGGGGACTTATATAAAATCTGATATTTTAAACTAAGGGCTTTTGAGCAAAAACAAAAATATAAAAAGGGTCTAGGTGCAAATCTCATCCTCCTTTAGTTGCCCTAGTTCCCTTGCCTATAAAGGCAACTTTGCTTGCCTTTGAAGGTAGAGATATTCTGAGGGCTGAAATCCAAAAAATACAAAAAGACTGCAAAAAAGAAAAAAAACTACTGTTTCATAGGAGATTTTTCAGCCTCATTTTTCTCTACACTAAACTTCTGAAAGAGCCTGTATACTCTGAAAAAGTACAGAAATTTCTGCATCATTTTGGGGTCGAAAATTACTGGGGATTGGTCTTTAATTTCATTGTTAGTAGTAGTTGAAGAATTTCAAAGGATTTCTGAACTATTTGGGGTTTTAAAAATGGTTTAAAGGGAGAAATGTTGTTGTGTTTGTGTTGCTGATCTACTGCTGATGTTTCTTCCTAACCTTGGGCTTGTTTTTTTGTTACTTTTGCTGAAATCATGTACTTCTTGGATCTCACTAACATGTGAAGTGTATATTGAAGCTATGTGATCAATTTGGACTTGTGGATGAATGTGAAACTAGGCTTAATATTAGTCTGCATTCTTCAAAGACTATTAATGTGTTCCTTATTGAATTAGTTTTACTATTTGAACTTTCTTATATTCAGTCATGCTATGG